CTTGCACATCGCCCATCACCTGGAAAATAGAGCGTTGCTTCTTGTTTGGGTGGTGGCGGGGAAACGATGCACAAACGTCTTTCAATCCCAAATCCGTGTTTTTGGGCATGCATGAGTCTTCGCTCCCAGGAAGTTGGCGGACATCTACTGCAACGACGCTTTCGGCACTGCCCACCGTGCACACAGCTCCATGGTGGGCGAGGGCTTTGACGTGAAGTGCGCGGGTGATTTGATGGGGAAGGACAGCTCCAGAGTTTGGCGTTTGGATCACTGTTTCTCTGCTGTGATTATATTGAGTGACCCAAGCTCGAATGAATTCCTGTGGTTGTAAGGGATTTTTTGCTTTTCCATCTGGTTGAGGAACAATTCCTGGAGCACCAAACCCCAAACCAAAGCATCAGAAGATATCCTACCTGAGGTTGTGCCTATTTTCTTCAACTGTAGGATGCCCTTCAGAGCACTTATGACGTCCCTTATGCCTCAGGAGTTGGAAGCCTTTGCAAAAGTCTTGGACAACCCCGCCAAGCCGGTCTTGGCCATCTTGGGAGGTGCTCCACCCAGGGCGGGCTTCTGAAGGGCAGTGAAGAGAAGACTCGCGGAGAATCTTAGAGTGGGGACTGGTGCTAGCTGCTAGTTGTGACCAGTGTAGACTCCAATTGGGACCATTGAGGTAGTACATTCTTTTAGTGTTGCAGGGCGATCCAGAGCTGACCGAAGTAAAGCAGCTTCAGGTGCGAAGGTGAGCGACAAGATTCAGCTGATCATGAATATGTTGGACAAGGCCAGGGCTCAGATGATTGGCATGACTCATGACCCAAATACATTTGAGGTCTTTTGAGTGCTTCCAAAAGAATAGGACGCTTGACTCATTCTCTTTGTGGGGTTTGGTGCCCCTTGAAGTCATTTTGAGACCAAATCAATTGGAAGCGATCATGCTGCATGGAGACAAGTCGTGACAAAGCCTTGGCTATATACTGAGACTGCAAAGGTCTGCGTTAAATAAATTGATGTAAGTATTTGGAATCCGAACAACTCTACCACCTAGATATGGATTTGCAGATTTGCAATGATTTGAGTAAAAAGACTTCCCAACTCAGTGACACTTTGTGGTTTTGGAGGCCTTTGGCATTGACCCACGGTTTTGCAAGGTGTTTTTGTCTAGCTTAATGGTCTGAGCAAGTTGTTCCAACACCCGGAACGCCCAGTGAAGAGCAGATGGGTGTGCGCCAGCCTGAGAGAACTGTGTCACTATGAGTGAGGTGAACAAGATGATCATCGGCGGCGGCATGGCCTACACCTTCTTGAAGATCAAGGAGTGGAATTTCATGGAATTCCACATTTACATTTTTTCGTCTCAGAAATGTGGTTGATGGAGAGAACTTCTCAAAACTCACAGCAAGAAGTTCCAAAGTGAGTGCTCCATGTCCTCCATTCACGACCCATTTGGAACAGGGAAGTGGTCACCTTTGGCTGTTGCCCTTTGACCGTGCTCCTTGCTCGGCACATCCAGCCCCAGGACGGCATGTCCATCGGAAGCTCCCTCTATGATGAGGAAGGCGGGGGTTGAAACCCATGTGAACGGCACCGAACATGACAGAACCATCTCTGCTTCTCCAAACAAATTGATGAACTGTCACGATTTATGTCTTTTTCTTTTGAAAAACTTCGCCCGCACTGAGCCCACATGTGACTCCCCAAGCGATCTCGAGATCGAACTCCATCCACCTGAGCCTTTTGGACCAGAGGGTCTCAAGATCGTCACCGAGATCTTCCTCGGTCTTCTCGTGTCTTTTTGGCTCTTCCGAGGTGCCAAGATCGTCCCCGAGATCCTGGCCAAGGCCGAAAAGCTGGGCCGCTCGACGGAGCAGCGAAGCGCGCGGACAGCGCGGGTGACCGGAGCGGGCGAGCGACCGGTGCGAGCGTGGTGGGATCACAGCCCAGCGAGCCCGGTGGTTGTGGGCGGCAGGTACTTGGGTGGTTTTGGCTGGATGCTGAAAAGAGTCGTGGATGTTCACGAAAGAATCAGAGAATCGTCTAGCGGAGGTGCCAAGGAGGACCACAGGGTGTGTCTCAAGACTGAGTTGTGCAAATGGCAATGGAGGTTTGTGGAACCAGAGAGAATCAACTGAGTGATATGTATTATATATATATATGTAGATGCAGGCCACAATGTGCCCAAGCGGTTTGCATTGAAGGACAAATTATCCACATCATAAGAGCTGCACGTTGGCCAGATTGGAATCGCCCTCATTTTTTTTGCTTAAATTTCTGCCAAGAGGAAGTTTCATCCTTCTCGAAAGTCTTTGGCCTGTCTCAACACGTCTCAACATTCAGGCCGTCAAGACCTCGAAACAGATCAGATAACTCAGATACTGTAACAGCAAACCCTCTCAATGTGATGCGAACGCGGTCGGCAAGCAAGGTGTGGAGATCATCCTCCCGGTGGATTTCACCTGCTCCTCCAAGTTCGGCGAGGATGGCGAGATCAAGGAAGGCGGAACACATTTTGGGGATGTATAGGAGGTTCCCTTCTTGAAAGATAGCCAGACAGTTGTCTCAAGGAGCCGACAATAAGATGATGCAGCCGATGTACAACAGGTTTTTCAGTGGGAAATCCATGTTCTTTGTGGCCAAACTCCTCCACTGCGCCCACGAGACACCTGCGGGTTCCACGAGGCGTGGTCAAGGCGGATGGCGTTCCAGAGGGCTTCATGGGCTTGGACTGCGGCCCAGCATCCATCGAGCTGAACGCCAAGGCACGCCACGCTAAGGTTTGCGACGATGCGTTTCATCACGCTAGGGATATGGCAGGAGATTTTGTGGAGGTACTAACCATTCTCTTTCATACTTGCGAGCTAATCTGGTTTTCACACCACTTGCAAGCTGAAAGGCCGTTGCGGAGTCTAAGACGATCATCTGGAACGGCCCCATGGGTGTTTTCGAGATGGCCAAATTCGAGACAGGCTGGGAATCGGCAAGGATTTGAATGCTCCTCCCTACCGCCCTACCCGTTCACCCAAACTTCATGTCTTTTTATACCTATTAACTGTTTCTCTATGAAATGGGGGGACAGCCCCCAATATAAATCAATATATGGGCTACTGCTCGGGGGTTACTGATACACCCCGCATTTTATAGAGGAGAGGTGATTTTATAGAGTAGAGAGTGTTGCGTTACCATGAACCATGAAAGTTTGTGATATGAACATTGAGTTAGAGTTTGAACTATGGTAAATATCTAGACACCTTCCTTGTTCATAATGCAGACATCCATACTAAAAGTGCGTACATTGTGAGGTCACACCCTCAATTCATACACATCTTTGTTTGGTCTGGCCTGGTGATTTTATAGACAAAAAAGTCCCTGAGGGGGTCACCACGCCAAATTATGTCTAGAACATCTCAAGCAAGACCCCTCCTTTTTCCCTTCAGGTCCTCCACCACACATGGCAAACTGCGGAGAAAGTGTACCATCCTTTTTCTCCCTTTGTTTTGACCCGTTTCCTGATCCACTTTGCTTCTCCCTTGTTTCTCCGGTTCTTGGGGTTTCCCCAGGCACCAAGAAGCTCATGGACGCCGTGGTCGCCGCCACCGCCGCGGGCGTCATCACGGTGATCGGCGGCGGCGACACCGCGACCGCCTGCAAGAAGTACGGCACCGAGGACAAGGCGCCGGAACGGGAAGTCCTGTGATGGGACCGGAATAGCACGGAGAGGGTCTGCGGGTCACGTATTTTTTGGCAACACCCTGGCAGAAGGTTCAAACGAACTTCCAGGGAATGGTCCGTTTGCCCTACGCGCACGCCCGTTTCGCCGTCATTTGCCTCCAGGTGACCCATTGCAGCACCGGTGGCGGTGCATCCTTGGAGCTCTTGGAGGGCAAGGAGCTGCCAGGTGCCCGTTGTTGAATTGATTGGTTGTCCTGGTCTGCAGGTGGTGAAAACCAGGGATTGGATGGTTTTGGATGGGTTTGCGCTTTGATTCACTTGATGACTTTGGTCAAGCTGAGGAATGCTGGGATGTTTGGCCAAAGAGAACTGCAGGGATGAATACCTTGATACAGTACATTTTGCGTCTTGTTGTCAAAGTGGGAGGACCATCAAAAAAACCCTCGGTGAAAGCCTCAATGACAGAACTGGTCCCTGGGTTTGATCAGACATTCTCGTTTGTCAACCTGCGGTCTGTCCAACTGTCGAGCCTCGCTGGTAAACTTTGTCAGCTGGGAGAGCAAACCCTCAGACGTCCGTTGGGTAAGCGAGCGGCAGGTGTTGCAGCTCTCAACGACAAGCATCTTGGTTCAGATTGACATCTCCAACGGTTCTTGGTTCCGGGAACGTACAAGGCTCCCACGGGACGACGACCTCACGAGGCCCCAGAGGTTCGGTTGGCCTCACAAGGGACGACGCGGTTTGACGACCACTACTACCATGTTACCATGACCCGTTCCTGTTGACTTGATGCCATGGGAGATGCAGTTATGGACTGACAACATGTTGTGCATGTGACAATGACACTGATGCCACATGCCTCTTTTTCTTGACCTGAGGTAGACTTGAAGCTCGGCTCGGCGGGGAACGTGGGGTGCGCGAAGGAGATGGTCCTTTCGGTTGTCCTATAGAGATAGAGCATATAGTAGCATAGTGTTGTATGTGGACAAGCAATGTGTACAGCATTCAAACATGGACATCCTGTGGATGTTGAACCTTGCTTTCGAGAAGTTAGATGTTCAAGCCCACTTCTCGATTGGAGAATTGAAACCCGCACTTGTGCGAGATGCCACATCTTTCACCCTGGGGATGCCACATCGTCATCGCGGGCCGGTGAGGTTGCTTGTTCCGAGGCGAGCAGAAGCTGCCGAATGACGCCCGCCCGATTTTCTTCGATTTTCACTTCATTACAGGAAGTCCTTTTGCTTTGCAGCTCTGCATTCCACTCTCCACGTCCTCACTACTGCCACGAAAAAAGCCACGGAAAGAGAGAGAAACACAGACTTCAAAGTTCCAAGTGTGGCAGAGAAGGAGCGTGGATCGCGGGGTTGTAAAGCTCTCTTTCCACAAACACTGGCTGAAAATTTGAAGCCGAAAAGTCGTGTTTTTTCGGCTTTTCGCTGGCGAGGAAAGCATCATTGTCATGTGGGTGGTCTCAGTTGGACCTAATACCAAATACTTCTTCCTGAGTATTGTTGTTTTTTTCTTTTTGTAGCTTCATGTGCCTCTGCCTCGAGTGCGGGAGTGTAAGTTCTGTAGTTGAATTGCTAGTCACTTGTCTTCAAGAAACACTGCAAAGTAGCCAGATAAACACAACAAGAAACTCCGGTGCTAAGTTGCATGTAGACAACTTTTTCTTCCATTTGTATCCATTTGTTATGAAGCCTCGCACATGCAAGCATTCCTTGCGCAGGCCATCAAATATAAAGAATCAAGCAAATCATCGAAGCAGGAGTTTCACTCTTGTGGGTGTGCAATGACAGGACTGTATCTTCTTGTTTGATCTGCGTGATTTGTGAAGGTTTGGCTCGAAGTATCTGCCCAAAGAACACACCTTCGCTGCATTTTTTCCGAAGATGCCGGCCAAGCTGAGCATTAACGATGTGGATGTGGCTGGCAAGCGTGTCTTCATGCGCGTTGACTTCAACGTTCCCCAGGCAAATGTGTTTGAAGCCATATAGTCTGGGTCCGGGTAATAGAGTCAGTTTTGATCCCCGTTTAAAACAATGAGATATTCCTCAAGTCTTACCAGTCAATTTAGATGACCAATTATTAAATCATTTTTTTGGGTGAACCTCAGTCGTCGGTAGCAATTCCGTTAAATCCATTTTGGATGACGAGCATCTCAGTCGTTCGGTGAACTCTTCGACGTGTTGGCCGCGACTTCGTGTGAAGCTCCAGACGGTCGGAACGCGCGGTGTGCGAACGGCGATGTTCACGAAGGACAAGGCCGACCCCAGCAAGATCACCAACACTCAGCGCATTGACGGTGCCTTGCCGACCATCAAGAAGGTGGGAATCTCATCAATTCTTTGTCGCTCAAGTGCGTGCTGCTGAAACATCAGATACTAGAGTCTTAGGGGGAGGGTTGCATTGCGGTTTCATCATGTTGCCTGCATGTTTGTATTGCAAGCAGTGGTAGGAAGTGGCAGAGAAAGGACAGAAAGGATGTAAATTTTGCATTGTAAGACTGAGAGGCAGACATTTCCAATTTGAAGTGGTGGTCCAAGACTGATTGTGGTCCAACCCTGGGTGGCTTTAAGGATGCAAACAGGTTTGTGGCTCTCAGGTTTCATTTTGGTAGCAAGGCATCTACTTACAGGTTTTGGGCACATGCTTATCTTACATTTCAGATTTGGTTTGTTTTGAATGGCTAAAGGCTTGAGAGGTGACCCCGCCTGCCGAAATGGCTCTGTTTCTTTTTCCCAATGGTTGTGCTTGAGAAGAGGGAGACCTTCAACTGGGCTTTGGTTGATTTCTTCTATTGCGGGGTCCGTTGAGGTTCTAGCGCTCTACCTATTTCACAAACACACACACACACAGAGACCAATTAATGATGCATAATGATGCCAATGGAAGGTATCCTGAAACTTACTCATTCCTGTAGAAGTTGCCATTCCACAGCGCCTTTCTCTTCCATTTGCTTCATTTCAAGGCCGACCTCTCGCCAGATCTCCACCCCGACCTCTCGCCCAGAGACCCCGCCGACCTCTCGCAGGTCCTGGAGAAAGGTGCCAAGTCCGTCGTCCTGGCCTCCCACCTGGGCCGCCCCGACGGCTGCGCGCGGGGGCGCAGAATGGCCCAAAGAGCGGCGACGTGCGAGCCAGGAACGTGAAGCGAAGTACGTGGGGCCCAAGTGGAGTTTAATCCTTGTGATCTCGGGTGATGCCTAGCCTATCACTGTATAGTATATAGCAAAAGTTGGTACGGGTGCAGGCTGATCTGAGACTTTGGTCGAGAAAGTTGAAGCTCAGCCGGGAGGGCTGATGTGGAGGTGGGTAAAGAACAATTCTGAGATGAATAGCACGGGCGTGTTGGAACAGGAAGACCCCCTTGGCCCCTGTGGGTGTTTCCTTTGGTTGTTCCGTTGGGTCTTTGTGTTCGATTCTGGGGGCTCTTCGAATTGGGGACGGTGACAGGCAGCCTTGTTGGTGAAGATCTGGTCCGAGCTCAGGGTGCATGGCATGGATGCGAACTGGGTGTGGGGTGGCCTGAAATCCTCCGATTTGATTGAAAAACGCTCGGTGTTTTCTCCCAAAACTCCCCGGGAGCGGCGTGAGGGCGCGAATTTTTGGCCAGAGCACATCCTCCGAGGCCGTCGCCAAGTATTCCTTGGCACCCGTGGCCAAGATTTTGGAAGAGAAGCTCGGCAAGCCGGTGCGGGCAGATGCGGGAAGATGAGAGGGCGTTGGATCGAGGAATGAGTTATTGAGTTGAATGAATTGACCCGTCCTGACCATGAATCTACGAGACTTGCTTGCTATATACTGGGTTCATCTCCCAGCAGCAGTGCAACAAGGATCACCGCTATTTCTCCTGTATATTGGTTCACAGTTGGCTTATTTGCAATGACCTTACGGCCGGAACGCTTTGGCAGGTGACCTTCTGCACCGACTGCGTTGGGTTCGGCCCGTCAGCCACGGGGACAGGAGACGGGGACAGGAGGGGTTGAAGGATGTGGCACAGCGTGGCAAAGCTTATATAGCCTTATACATATATATATATATAAATAAAAATATATAATATATATATATATATATTCGCCCCCCCCCCAAAAAAAACCTATGTTCCTGAGTGCTGGTGTGCAGTTGGTAAGCATATTTGTTCATTTAACTATGTATTATAAAAATGTCCAAATCCATAAGGTTATGTGTTTACTAAACAGTTCTTGGATGGAGTAATCTAATTCATTGCAACTCCATGCAAAACCATATGTTTTGCTTTTAGGGTGTGAATTGTACTCTCTTATTGAATGCAGTTGAGCAAGTACATCATAATCTGAAGGCAAAGAATTGCACACCCTAAATAACTAAATTCCAGTCTAATTCTAATTAAACCTAAATTCCAATCTATTCAACTCTACTCTACTTTGTATATTCAACTTCAAATTTGAATCTATTTCAACTATTTGTAAATTATATTTTGATTCAACGGTCTATCACTATAGATTCTAATTTACTTGGGATTCAATGCAAGCCTAATTTTAATTTGATTTCAAGCTAATTCTAACTTCATTGCTATACAAGTCAGATTCAATTCTAATAGTGTATTCTTTTTCAATTTAGTTTTAATTTGAGTGAAATTCTCATTTACTTCTAGAGAAGTGGTGTTACTTTGAACCTGAGAGAATTTATGTAGTTTTTCCAATATAGAAGAATGTGCTTTCTTAAATGAATTAAATTCACCACCAGCAACACCCACTCTCTAGAATTAGAAGTCCATGTGCATTGAACTAGAATCAAAATAGGATGAACTTAGACATATAGAAACCAAACCTAATGTGCAATGACAATAGTGTAAAATTAGATGTGTAAAACAATTGAATCAGAACTGTATAAAGGCATTAACATTAGAAATTAGTTACTAGTAAATTGGAAGAGTCAAAGTTACAATTGAACCCAAAATAGAATGAACTAGAACTAAATTAGAAGTAGACTGGAATCAAATTAGAGTTGAAAGACAAACATTGAATAATGATCCATTACTTAAATTGAAATTGGCTTAGAACTAAGGTAGAATTGAATTAGAGTTGTTATACCTAGAGCTTGGTTAGTAGAACAGTATTGACTTAGAACTAAATTGGAATCTAAGTTCAATTAGAATTGAACTAGATCTAATTTGCAATCTCAATTTGATTTCAATTACATAAAGTTCAATTAGGATCATTTTCTATTTAAATTAGAAGCACGTTGCAGATTCCAATTTAGATTCAAGTTTGAATTCCATTAGATCTAAAATAGCCAACCATAATTAGAATTAAAATAAAAATGAGTAAATTAGAATAAAAACTGAATTAGAATTTGTCTATACAATGAAGTTAAGCTAAATAGACTTAAATTAGAATTCAATTAGGCTCAACTTAGGCTTAAAGTAGAACTATGTTACATACTCAAATTAGAATCCATTTAAGGTTCAATTAGACTTCAATTAGACTCAACTTAGAATATTAAATAGAAATACAAGTGATTTTAAATTGGAATAAGAATTGACTTAGAATTTAGTTAAATTTGTATGTGCACTAAAAATCATAGAATTAGAGTTGAATTAGTTGTTAATTAGAATTGAATGAGGAACAAATGTCGGTAATCAGTGATATTCCAGGATCAAAATGTACTTAGTGCAATTTTGTCACTACCAGAGAATGCCAGAGAATGCATTCCTGCCCAATACCAAGATCCAAGATCCAAGATTTGCACAGAAGTCTTGTGGAAAATCTTGGATTTGGGAACATCCTGCCCAATACCAAGATCCAAGATCCAAGATTTGCACAGAAGTCTTGTGGAAAATCTTGGATTTGGGAACATCCTGCCCAAAACCAAGATCCAAGATCCAAGATTTTAGCCAGGAGTCTTGTGGGAATCTTGGATCTTGGATCTTGGTATTTCCAAGATTTTAGCCAGGAGTCTTGTGGGAATCTTGGATCTTGGATCTTGGTATTTCCAAGATTTTAGCCAGGAGTCTTGTGGGAACCTTGGATCTTGGTTTTTCCAAGATTTTAGCCAGGAGTCTTGTGGGAATCTTGGATCTTGGATCTTGGTTTTTCCAAGATTTTAGCCAGGAGTCTTGTGGGAATCTTGGATCTTGGATCTTGGTTTTGATCAAGAATGCATTCTGAATGCATTGAACGCATTCTGAATGCATTCCTTCCAAAGTGGACAAACAAGTCATGCAACCTACGTGCGTGCACTATATATATATATACACATATGGTACCACAAAAACTAAGGTCCAAAAGGCCGCCAAAAATA